AAATTCTACTATGAGGGATCATGCCACGTAATCGAAATGCTTTTTTTACGTTGTCTTTACGTCTGTCTAATCAATCTTATCATAAAAATTTACACGGAAATTCTTATGTTTTGAAATTTCTAATGTGGGACCAAAGACTAGTGATTGAATGTCTTGACTTTGATTTTTGTATATTATGAAGCTAATGAATAGTTTCCGACCTTTGACTTACACTGTACAAATTTTAAGATTTCTGCACTAACGATTAATCGTATATAAATATGTACTTAGTTCTATATGTATTTTTCTTTTTCATCAACCCGATTTACGAATATATACGGATTTAACTGCAATCCTTGAAAGCACTGATACTTTTTCAATGAGTTAGTAATAGCAGTCGCTATCTATTAGTACAAGTTCTTGTCACAAGTCATCGTTGTTGTTACAAGATTCAACGGTAAATTTACCAAACAGACACTAATTAGCAATTTTGCCATTACTTTTTTAGTAAAATCAATTTTACTCAACAAATCGACTGTTTGTTGATACAAACCCGTCGTTATAATCTTATAAAATTCAACTATCCATGTGAGTTTGATATAAGCTGCCTGGAAAGATTTGGTAATTTTGCCAGCAACTTCATTCATTGTGATTTTGAATTCTAATGTGTGAGATCATGCCACGTAATCGAAATGCTTTTTTTACGTTGTCTTTACGACTGTCTAATAAATCTTATCATAAAACTTTACACGGAGATTCTCATGTTTCGAAATTTCCAACATGAGACCAAAGACTAGTGATTGATTGTCTTGACTTTGATTTTTGTATATTGTTAAGCTAATGAATAGTTTCCGACCTTCGACTTACAGTGTAAAAACTTTAAGACGTCTGCACTAACGATTAATTGTATATAAATATGTACTTAGTTCTATATGTATTTTTCTTTTTCATCAACACGATTTACGAATATATACGGATTTAACTCCAATCCTTGAAAGCACTGATACTTTTTCAACGAGTTAGTAGTAGCAGTCGCTATTTATTAGTACAAGTTCTTGTCACAAGTCATCGTTGTTGTTACAAGATTCAACGGTAAATTTACAAAACAGACACTAATTAGCAATTTTGTCATTACTTTTTTAGTAAAATCAATTTTACTCAACAAATCGACTGTTTATTGATACAAACCCGTCGTCATAATCTTATAAAATTCAACTATCCATGTGAGTTTGATATAAGCTGCCTGTTAATATTTGGTAATTTTGCCAACAACTTCATTCATTGTGATTTTGAATTCTAATGTGTGAGATCATGCCACGTAATCGAAATGCTTTTTTTACGTTGTCTAATAAATCTTATCATAAAAATTTACACGGAGATTCTCATGTTTTGAAATTTCCAACATGAGATCAAAGACTAGTGATTGATTGTCTTGACTTTGATTTTTGTATATTGTTAAGCTAATGAATAGTTTCTGACCTTCGACTTACACTGTAAAACCTTTAAGATGTCTGCACTAACAATTAATCGTATATAAATATGTACTTAGTTTTATATGTATTTTTCTTTTTCATCAACCTGATTTACTAATATATATGGATTTAAGTGCAATCCTTGAAAGCATTGATACTTTTTCAACAAGTTAGTAATAGCAGTCGCTATTTATTAGTACAAGTTCTTGTCATAAGTCATCGTTGTTGTTACAAGATTCAACGGTAAATTAAAAAACCAAACACTAATTAGCAACAAATCAACTGTTTATTGATACAAACCCGTCGTCATAATCTTATAAAATTAAACGATAAACTTATAAAAACGACTCCGATCACTGTCTTTTAAAAGCAGAATAATCAACTCCAACAAATTCGCAAAATAATAAGACTTTATTAACCGAACAAACGAATTATGGATAACGTGGTACACCTGTAGCTGTATTATCGTCCAAAGACTTTGTGGTGAAGGAAAATAAGAAACAGTCAACAGTAAGTGCATGTGGGGGTTCAAATCAAAACAGCGGTAGTTATGGAAGTTAAGTGTCAACAAATGCCATCATAAAAAGCAAAATATCAAACTGGCCCCACCACTTTAATCAAACAAACAAAATCACTCATAAAATCAATGGAAGCGTGCATAAACATTACTTTTAACTAGCTATATAAATATTTTATATATTTCAAATATTTCAAAAGCAAAAAAGGATTCTTATTTTTATGATCAATTTTATATTCAATTCTTTCTCGATGATAGTAAACATCGTATTACTATCATCTAATATTAAAAAATAGGGATTCCGTCCGAATTTTTTACATCGAAAATCGTAAAAACGATTTATTACTACCATCTAACATTGAAAAATAAAAATTAAAACACAATTTTTTTATTGCAAAACTTTAAAAACGATTTGATACTACCATGTATGTAATATTAAAAGACAAAAATTCAATTAAAATTTTGTATATCGAAAACTGTAATATAACATTAAAAAATAAAGATTTAGTCAGAAGTTTCACACACACCATATATATATATATATATATATATAGACTAGTCATTCTTTCACACGAACGTCTTTACGAAAATTATTATTCAAAGTCTGGAAATAATAATTATTGTTATCGTTATTATTATAGTGGTTGGTCTTTCTCATGAAGAAGCTTGATTTTAACAAGAAAAACGGTTTGAAACCAAAGGAAACTAACAATGGAGTCGTGTGAGAGATAGCCAGCCCACCCAAAGAATTTGATTGGTCCACTAGGATTCCATTCAAGTGATGTGAAAATTGAATTTTTAGTATTGAGAATGTGAACAGATCATCAACAATATTATCATATATAAAGTTTGGCATGCAATTGAGATTAGATAATTTATTCCTTTTTTATCTTATTCTAAACTTGTTTGTAGATTCGATATAGAATAGTTTCGGCTGCTGAGCTAGTTTTCCAAAATCTTTTATCTTTTTCTGGGACAGTAATATCTGATCTGTACTAAAGAATGACTATACATATAAAAAGCTTCTTAGCAGTTCGTTTAATCAGTGTAAGTCGCATCAACGTGTGTGATATACACATACGACGTGATTACTCTGGATATCTATCTAATTAGTATAGATCACGTCAACGTGTGTGATATGTATGCATAATATTGTTAAAAGGGCATGCACATATTAGTTTCGACTGTGGAAAGCTTGTATTTCAAGGTTCGAAACCAGTTTCCAATCTTTATCTTTTTTTGGGTTAGTATTTTTTATCCGTACTAAAGAATGACTATACATTTAAAAAATGTTTTAGCATCAACACGTGTGACATACACATACGGATGTGATTACTCTGGATCTGTTTTTTTTTTTTGTTCATACTAAAAAAAACCAGTTTAATATCCATCTAATCAGTATAGATCACGTAAGCATAATATGGTTAAAAGGGCATGCACATACTTAGTCTAACCGACACTTAAAAAAAGCCTTTGGTATGAATGGAGAGTCATTAGGGTCAAAGAAGATTCAAGAGAGCAACAAAAAAACAAATAAATAGAAACATATCTTATCTTAAAACACTTTGCCTTTTGTAATTTTTTATGAAAAGGACCATGCACTAGATAGCTAAATTAGCTTAGATGAGAGCTTTTGAAAAGCAACAAAGGAGATTGGAGAAGAACCCTAGAAATTCATACAAATAAAACAAACTAAATGGGAGGGGTGTGAGCAAGCAATTGGGGATTTATATAAAACAATATCTTAAACCCCAAATCAGATTCGTTTACATTTTTGTAAGTGTTCATACAGGATTAACTAAAAAAAACATGATATGATATGATATCAAATAGTTGTGTCATCCATATAAGACATATAGACAGTGACCTCAACTTGGAAAACTTTAAAGTTTATATCGAAAAAAGATGAACACAAATCTAGAGTTCTACATGTGTACCCAGACAAAATTTATGATTTACCTAACTTTCACATCAAAATTAGTAGAAGGAGCCAACTAGGTTTCAATAGACCTTAGAGATTAGTTGAGATACACGTAAACTGATCCAGACACCCCAATTAAAAAAAAAAAACAAAGGAGCGAACTAGGGATGTTAAAAACCCGGGCTTTTTTTTTGGCCTCGGGCTAATACTTTATAAATACACTTGGTCTAGTTTGGGCGAGCCCGACCTGAACCTGAGATGTTCAGAATCCTAGAGCTAACATTCCTCTCATTCTTGAAGAGAGAAAATGGGCCTTGAAAATGTTTCAAACAGGCCAGCCCATTAGACCATTGAAGGACAAAGATACATATTGGGCCTAAAGGCCCAAGGACAATCGGCAGTCGGAGTTATGGTAAGGACAGATGTAAATAGATAACATAAATATGTTAACGTGGTACTCCATCGGCAGGGTTTCAGACAATCGATTCGCATGGTTCGGTTCGGTTCGATTCAGCTTGCTTAAACCAATAAGCTTAAAAGTTTGTTAGGTTTAGCTGTTCAAACTGAACCAATCTGCCTAAGGCCCAAAAAAGTGTCACAAAGGCAGATAACCAAACCCACAAACTATACAAAATTTGGAATTATATCTAAACTTTAAATGTAATGTTTTAGTGATACTACCCAACCAACACTAGAGCATTTCAAAGATATTAGGCCATTGAAAAGGGTACAGTTCATGTATATATCCATAACTATTTATCTGAGAATCTGAGATGAGTCCAAAAAGAGTCGAGTGACGATTCTTTGGTATGACGGGTTTAATAACTTGAAAAGCTGATGTGATACTCCCGTGGTTAGGTTTATGGTTCAAACTAAACAAACCTGAATAAAGCCAGACAACCAAACCCGGAAAACTGAATCAGGCCTCCTCAAACTAAAACAACATGGTCAATTTGGTTCTGTTTAGATAAGTTCACTTTGGTAGTGGTTGGTTTCAACCAAAACCAATGAGTTGGTTTTGTTTCATTTGGGCATAAACCAAATTGAACCGAACCGAACCCACTTAGAGAATAGGGAAATATACAAGAAATGTGCAACATAAGACCCTTATCATATTTCTGATATAGGCAAGTGTATCCTGATTCATGTGATTCAAGACATCCATATATAGTACAGCATCCAAAATCACCGGTTAAAATCTCGTAGTGCGTGGATATTGAATTCAACAGCTTTGGCAAACAAATAAGTTAGTATTTGATATTCTATAACAATTTAGTTAGCAAGTATTTCACGAGTAAATACATGTTTACAGTGGATTTAGATCCTCTTCTGATCGCCTAATTAGTGTCAAGAGTCAACTAGGTTGATCAAAGCTCATGTTCATATGTTATCTTGGTAGCCTAAAATCCACAGGGTTAGATGAACCTGTGGAAAAAAATGCCACCATGAGAATCACAATGCAAAATGTGGGATTACAACCAGATTAATGGATATAGACAAAGCATCTATAACTAAATTCAAAGTCTGTAGTAGCGGTAAGCAAACAACAGCAATAAAAAACATTTGGTTTTAAATAGTATGAAATCCAGTGGTACATTTCAAAAAGGCAACCACATAGGAACAACTAAAACGGAGGTAAAAGAGTTGGCAAAAATTGTTCATCACTATCACAATAAGACCTCGATTACATAGATGTGCCATAGAGACCTTGGTTGAGGAAAGAAGCAAACACAGATAAAATAACCAGAAGAAATGACTACAATTCTTTGTGGATTTGAATGAGAATAATTCAACTGAGTTCCCAACAAAAAAGTTTGCATCTCAAATTTTATTACCAAGTAACGAGGCTGACAGTAGCTCTATCAAAAATTCAGATTTCATATTATGAAGATATCTTGGTGATCTTACATCGAAAGTGTTGTAGACAGAAATAATAAAATTACAATCAGTTCTCTGTTGTTCACAGAAAGATATGTCATGCTTATATCTATGTGATTGCATTTCTATCGCTAAGTTGATAATAATTAATTTGTATTCATAATAACTAAGAATTCAAGTAATAACAATTGCCAAATTAATAGCAGAATCATCAATTAAACACTAGTAATATACATTTGAGTGAAATGACGGTGTATATGCAAGAAGAAAAAGTAGAGGTAAAACGGTGAAGCATAACTATCAAAAAGAAAGAGCATAGATTACCTTTTTATCTACCACAAAATAAGGAAGAACATCCGCAAAAAGGCAAGGATAGATATGAGTGTCCCTCCCAATAGAGACACTTGAAGAACCTTTTCCCTCTTCCTTGGGCTCAAAGAAGTGATGAAACATAGAGTCACCTCTAAAATAGATTCTCCATCTAGGAAATATACCTAATAAATGATATTATCATCAGAGAAAATGAATATTGATGAGTGTTAAAAATAGGATCACATTTTGCAATAATCTGATGATTGATTATAGGAATTTAGCCTCTGAACTGTAAGCTACAGTCATACGGCTTCCATGAAATTGATTTTGAAACAATTTGATAGAACGTTTAATAAATTATGTAAAATCACTCATACTAATTAATTTGATAACAAGATACCTGTATCCTCATCATTTTTTGTAATATTGACATAATGCTTGTGCTATCACATTCTTTTTCTAAACAGATGAGTGAAAATGTTTTATCATTACATACATTTTGATCATATTTTTAACAAATAAAATGCTAAGGATCCAGGAACTTACGGGCAAACTGTTAAGAAGAGCTAGGGTTAGTGAGATATGGAACACGCACATCAAAACCTTTTCCAGCATATTTGGAAGATACGCAACAAAAGCAAATGTCCAACGAGGTCGATATGTAGTTAACTGAATTGAATGTGCCATGGTGATCAAATCACCAACAAATACAAAAGTCCCACCACAGCCATGTTTGACAAAGTCAGCAGTACCGGAATCTGAAATTGAATCTCTTCCAAGCTGCAAGCATTCAGGAGAAGGTCTTGAATATGTGATCTCAACCCATACTAAACCCACCAGCTGAACTGGACTTAAGCAGGACTCATCCTATAACATATTTCAAATATATATTACTGTTACAAAGAGCATTACTTTCCACCAGGTTCCAAGCAAAAATGACAGTAAACAAGAAAATCTGTAAGAAATTGCTACGCTTGAAATTTTTTTACTTGCCAGACATAGAAATATCTACCTTCGAACATATGCAGCTGCTTTGATTTGTTACAGTGGTCATCCATCCATCACCACATTTATTGAGCTTGACAATATCCTTTGCATTTAAGCAGTGCCTACTCTCTCTTTTGTTAGACTGGCCATCTTCACTAGTAACATCACTTGACGTACTTGTATCAGAGCATTCAACGGTTACAAATGCAGTAAATTCACCAGGACAACCAGACTGGCTGTCCACCAATTGAATCTTCTTGCTTTCTTCGATCATAGAATTAGGGACACAGTACCCCTTTCTACCATTTACAGCCCTCAAACCTGTAAATCCAGAAAGATTTGAATTTTGAAGTGTTTGTCTATCTAGTAAGGAAGCCATCTCCATCCAATCATGCTCATTATGGATATGTGTGCCATCCAACGACACAATGACATCCCCAGGAGACAAATAACCTGACAAAGGCGATGTTGAAGGTACATCCAAAACCTATTCAAGGCAGCCATATAAACCATATAAACCAAAATTAATGGAAGAAATACATATTGTAAATATATCTATTATGCATGCATAAGGAAGAAAATGAAACAAGTTCATGTTTGTGATTATTTACCATGGGGCTGTCACCATATGTGTAAAAGGGAAACAAGATCACAGGCATGAGGAATAAAGCCAACCCACAAACTGCACAGCACTAGAAAGAAATTCAAGCAATCAGCACTGGATTAAGCACTTCGTAAAATAACACAAAACATGAAAAGTTTGACATGACCAGAATAGTTATCGACTAGAACGAACTAATGGCGCAAATTTTTTGTTGAGACAGTGAGAAATAATAAATTTGACCTACTGAGCAAGCGGCTTACTGCTGCATTGTGCCAAATGCCAGCACAGTACACACGGAGAACAGTAAAGCGTGGCAATGCCTGAAGCAAGTCATAATTGAGAGCAACGAGAGCACCCGGAAATAGAATAGCAATGAAAATAGCGATATACTCCACTTGTATGCCCTCACTGCTCTTCAAGAACCATAACATTCGTTCACAGAATATATCTTTGCTATACCGATCATAATCATACTCATATAGTTAAAAAAATAGGTAAATAAACATTATATAGAAAAATATAAAGACCTTGCAGCAGCAACAGCATGACCAAACTCATGCACAGAAACAGCAATCAAAGAAGAAATTATAACATAAGCAGCATCACCAACTGATACCTGCAATGACAAAACCAGAAATCAAATCAAATGCATGATGGTTTACCATTCTTAAATTTGCTCACACCTCAAAGCCAAAAAAGCACTTATCAGAGAAGTTCTAATTTTTTGGCCTCTTCACTGATAAATGAAAAAACTTTTTTCAAACCCACCAAATATTCTTGAGATACAATCAAAATGAGACAAAAACAAAATGTAAAAAAGTGCTTCTGAAAAAAGTGCTTTACACCTCAAAAACAAAATATAAACTTACTGAAGAAAAGCTCAAATATTTTTGCTTCTTCACGTAAAAATTAAGCAACTTTCTTTAAACCCAGAGCTCTTTTTAAGTTACAATCAAAATAAGATCAAATAAAGACAAATAAAAAGCGCTTTTGACATTAAGGAAAAAGTGCTTTAGCTTACCGAAGGCGAGAAGCCGAACAAGAAGAAGAAAGCTGTGTTATTGGAGTCTCGTCCATAAAACATAACCCAAACGAGAATGAAGATGACAGCAAAGACTAAGGAGAGGGCGAAACCGACGCCAATGGAGAACCAGAACCTGAAGAAGGCGGCGTGTGTTCGTCCAAATCGAAAGAGGGGTTGATTTAAAAAACGGATTTTGAAGTCGCAGTAGCAGCAGGTCACTGTGGCGTTCGCGGTGGTGACGGGGGCAGCGGTGGCAGTGGAAGCGGAGGCGGACACCGGAAGGAAGGAGGAATGTGGTGATGGTCGATCAAATCTTCTCAATCTCCGACCTTCCATCTCTGTGTACTCGTCTGAACTCCGCGGCGAGAAACGAGCCATTTTGTAGTTTAAGGACAACTTTTTTTCTCCCTATTTTTTGTATAATTCAATTACATCCCTAAGGGTTTCCAGAATATGAATTATCTCCTTGGTAGTGATGGAGTGAGTTAAATTGAGAAGGGCAATTGAGTCATATCACTTCAAAACAATTTTATAAAGATTTTTTCATGATTATAAAAATATCGTTGAAAAGAATTTACATAAAATAATTTTACCATCTCCCTTTGTCAACATAATAAGACTATCTGGTCAAGTGTTATTGGTATATATTAGAGATAATGAATAATGATAGATATAATAAGAATAATACTGTGCGTACTAACGGATTTTACTAACCAGTGTACTAACCTTTGTTAAAATCAAATATAGTACCTGTACTATGCGCATGATACCCATACTATGTTTTAAGTTAGTACACTGGTTAGTAAAATCTGTTAATACCCATAACATTACCCGATATAATAAAAGAGAAAATTTGATATATATATATATATGTTACGATATATACGATTATGTTATGAACAGTCTCATAACGTTAAATAACAATTAAAAAAAAAAAGTCGAGTATTTTTCAATTACGTTTTATGAGTTATTTTCTTAGAAAAATGATTTTAAGTTTGATAAATAATATATACTCAAGTTTTGGGAGTAATTAGTTGAGAAATGTTTTATTTAAGAAATTATATTTTCTAATAATTTATTACCGAAAAGAAAGACAAAATAAACACTAATAAAAACATTCGTTTATGATTCTTTATAAAGTTAATAATACATTAATACTCTTAAAATATGATAATATAATAAAAATTATTTTGTTATTAATTTTTAAATATTAAGATAAATAATATGAGGATAATTTGGTAATATTTATAATATTGTAAATTTTAACGTATTTATTAACTATTGGAGGTATTTGATATTTTATTATAACATATTTTTGCGTCTTCAAAATCTGTCTTTAACTTTTCCTTTTAAATTCAATAATATCCAATAAACCCCTAATATTACATATTGTTTTAAAAAACCCAATACATTTTAAAATGTTGACGCGAAGCACACGGTCGCGGGTCGTCAATAAAATGAACACCGATAAACAATAAATAAATAAAGAATCTCTACCCTTCAACTTCAACACGTCTCCTGTCCCCTCTTTCTCTCTCAAAACAAAACAAACAGATCACAATTCATTTAAAGTCAGCCATTGTTGCAGAGGTTGAAAGTGGACCCATAACCAGATGTTGCTTTTACAGTCTCATTCGAGGTTCCTTCTTCAGACCTTGTTGAATAGGGTTCAAAAGTAAGTTTTTTTTTTTTTTAAATAATTCATTTGCGTACTTTGATAAACGGGTGTTTACTTGTTATGTAAATACACTTAATTTTATAACCCAGAAAAAAAATGTGGTAAAAAGATAAAAAATTTTTATGTTTTGATGGATTTATTTGCAGTTTGGATAAAGCAGTTGAGCTGGATTATCAGTGGGTTGAGTTTGACGATGTTCGTTACCACGTTCAGGTCAATTTCACTTGCTTTTTTACTATTTGTTATTGATCCACTTCAATTTTGAAAATTTTCTTAAACCCCCCCTTTGAATTGCCAAGATTTGTTTGCTTACAGGAGAGGTTATTGATAATTTTAGAAGCATGAGGTTAAGGTTTGTGTTTAGGTTATACTATAGCTTTCTTTTTGTTGGCTATCTTAAGTTAGGTTAATGTTTTTAATACATTTATGCAAGTAAACATGGTATAGGATAGAGGCATGGTTAGTCGTACTAGTTTGTTCGGCTGGTTGGATCTTTTGGGGTTGTATTAGAGATTTTGGAATTGAATCACACTCACACCGGGGTGAGGAGGGGTTTGGTTTGCATTTGCATTTGCAAGTTTGACAAAGTAAATTTTTTTAAAATGAAATGATATAGAGCACGTCTAATAAGGAGACATTATTGTTTTGCAGGTTACGATGAAGAATCCACATCTTGTGTTGTTATCAGTGTCATTGCCCATTCCACCTCCTGAAACCATTTTCCTTGGGGGACTTCCATTTGGAGCTATAGAAGCTATAAAAGCTGCATATGGTTCGGTTGTACAGATTCTTGATCCTCCTCGGGATGGCTTTAATCTCACATTGAAACTCAATTTGTCAAAACTTTCTCCAGATGAAGGTTCAACGAGTTTCTTTTCTAAGGTCATTATGAACTTGCTATGAATATGCCACAAAAACTTAGGTTTAGCTTGAAATTTTTCCAACTTCATTTTGCTTCTCGAGATTGTGATTTTTTAATTTTTTTTTTTTTTTTTCCCAGAATAGGAATGGATTTCCTTGTTTTGTTTAGATTTAGATGCAAATTGGACTTGTTGACCTTTCTGATCTAAGACATTGTGAAGAACCTAGAGTACCTTCTAGATAAGAGTACGGACCTATCGAGCTCCCGATCATTAACATTAGCATCAAACTAGTAGTTGCAATGCCAAGGAACTATGTCAAAGCTATAAAAGTAGCCTTAAAGCAAGCATTATTGCTTCTAATTAAAAATAGCTATAAAAGTAGCCTTAAAGCAAGCATTATTGCTTCTAATTAAAAATCTATGAGAAGCACAAGCAGACATAAATGAAAAATATCCATGATGGCCTATTATCTGGAAAAAAAAAAACTTTATTGGAATTCTAGAAATTGGTTGGTGAATGCATCCCTAGTCTATGATGGCAAGAATGATAGGCTTATTTTATGCAAGATCTGTATGTTTGATGCTTCATGGTCAAAATTGGGTGATTGGTTGAGGTTCAGCACTTTTTGGAATTTTGTTCTTCATTTAAATATGGACTCCAGAACTGTTGTGCAGGCTTTTAAATTTATTTCATCTTAATCTTAAATGCAAGCGAATGCTATGAGCATATTGAGAGTTCTTTCCTGTTGAATACATATGTGTGGAATAGCATACAAGTGCATAAGCATTGAATTCTCTTCGTGATTTCTTAGGTTTCACTTTTTTGTTTTTTGGTTTACTCTGTTGGAACCTATTGTGCACGTGGACTCATGATAGTTAAGCCAAATTTACCTTTTAAATCCCCATTCTTGGTTTGAGTGGAATTGATCCTTGGCTACTTGTAATACACAACTCCACTAACAGAGTTTGCTAGCCCTGGCATTTGGGTTCACTTGTGTTATATTGTTATAAAACAATGGCTTCTATATATATGTAGTGTAGTAATTGAATTTGAGGTTGATTTCTTCCATGTTTGTGAATAATACTTTTGACAGTTTTTTGTTGTTGATGTTCTGCAGAGAACAGACAAGCTCTGTTGATGAAGGTTGCATCTGTAAGAGAAGTGGTATTAGGTGCTCCATTAAGAGTAGTGCTAAAACATCTTGCTACAAGGACTGTTGCTCCAGGTATGAATCAGCTTCTTGCCCTTGTGCATCGACCAAAGGAGTCCTTTTTCCTCATCCCTAAGGTATTCTGATAAACTTTCAATCTTTTGTTATTATTTTGTTATTTTTGAAGTCAAGCTGGGAGATTTAGATCGTGTTCATCTGGATATTCTTCCTTAATTTTTCCCTAATTTATGTATGAGAGATGGACTAGTTGTGATTTAGCTGAGTGAATAGACGTAATTGTTAATGCAGGCAGAAAAGGTGACTGTGGTATTTCCTATGAGATTCAATGACTCCATTGATACTATTCTTGCAACTTCCTTCCTACAGGTACAGTGTAAAATAATTTTCCTTTTCTAACTTCAAGTCTCATAAGTTTCCAACAGTGGTTCACTATTGGCTATAAATATATATAAGAATCTATTTTTACTTCTTTAAAATCAAGCCTTAAAGGATTTCAGAAGCTAAAATTAGTCGAGTTTGCAGTGTTTACGGCAGTTCTGAGTTGGAGCTTTTGACTGTTACTTTTTTCTAGAATATTTTCTACTTTCTGTTCTTGGCTTATTTCTTGTTTTCACTTTCCATGTTTGATTTTATTCAGGAATTTGTAGAAGCAAGGCGTACAGCTGGACTTAATAATGCGCCTCTTTGTTTGTGGTCTCCTTCCCCTCCTCTAGAACTGAAGGAAGCTCCTTCTGAAGCATTATCTGCCAATGCAGGATTTGTTACTTTCGGTAATATCAGAACTAATAGGCTTATTTATTTCTCTTTCATTCTTGTTATAATATTTTAATATTTTCATTTAATGCAGTCATTTTTCCTCGGCATGTGGAAGGAAAAAAATTGGACCGTACGGTTTGGAATTTGTCAACTTTCCATGCATACGTTAGTTATCATGTCAAGGTGGTTTTCCTTTGCTTAACTTGGTTCAATACTTAGTATTTTATCTCAAACTCTTACATACGACAGGATAATGTAGATCTCATTATGCCAGCAGCCTAATTATAATACTCTTGGCACAAAAAGATAACCAAATAGTCTGCTAAGCTAGGAAAAAAAAACACTAGCACTTAGTGCCTTGTATTGCTTGCGACACTGTTTGCGGTGAAGTGCCAAACAACAATAAATTGTGAAACACAAATAACTTCCAAGTGTAAAGAACAAGATAATTTATGTGGTTCTGTGTGGTTGTCAATGTCCACAGAAAAGAGAGAGACCAAAATTTACTAACATCAATGAACAACTGCACGAGCTCTCAAAATCTCTCAACTCACATAGCCATCCCTAAACCCTGATAACACTGGATAATAGAATTTTGAGAAAATACTAAGTCACTCCTAATACAAGCTACGCCATAAAAGACAGTTATGACCTGAGTTTCTGAATTTAGATCTGTGCTTGTAGTATATATAGTAATTATAGGTTAGAAAGGATTGAATAGGTGTAATCAGTATCAAAACAGAGATTTCCTTATTAAAAGTTACGATTTTTGAACCATTTGTTTTACCTTTTATGTTTTACAGCTGAAATAATTTTAAATGTTTGCCTCACATCATCAGTAAGTCATGTGGTAGATGTTTCTAAGTATGAACTACTCTAAAGTTATCACACAAAGTAGAGTGCATAGGAGCATTGTTCAAGATACATATGACCATCTGCAGTGCACCTGACTCTATTTCTTTAATGTTCTGGTGCGACCATGCTCACTTAGAGCATAATGTGAGCATCAAGTGTTCTGGCTAGGCATTATCTAGCGTAAGAGCACTTTTGATAGTGAAAGAACCATGGAAATACCATTAAAGTTATTTTTCGAAAAACACTATCAATCTCTTTTTTGGATTCTATAATATGATTTCTGTTTTGAAAAAAAGATATATGAAATCATTGTTCACTCTGATTCTTTGACTTGTCACATTATACCTGGGATTCTTGTTCTATTATTCCATTTTAATTAAATGCCGTTTGATAGCTAATGAATAAGGTAATCTTCTGTGGATTTCTTGTGGAGCTGCTGCACCTTCAAGTTGTGACTCTACTATTTTAGTAGCATTTCAACTCTTACTTCATCATTTGTATTCAGTTTCTTGAATAATTTGTTTGATCTCAATGTATTCCTTCAATATTCCTCAGTGCTCAGCGGGTTTCATGCACACACGGATGCGGCGCCGTGTGGAATCTCTGATTCAGGTATTATTTCCAATATCTTCAGCTACTGGCTATATCTTTTTCTACCTAATTATATTGTTTCTGTTTGGGGGCATTATTTTACCTGCAAAGTTTCTTGCTGATCTAAAGCTTACAAGAAATATATATATTTTTTGTTCCACAGACCCTGGATCGTGCCAGACCAGATTTAGATAAGGCAAAAAAGTCAATAAATAACAGATCGTTCAAACGGCTGGTATGTCATGAGAATTCCAATCACAATACTTTGATAAATTATGTTCATGATTTTCAGTCAATACGTTTTAATAAGCATCCTTGATTGTAGACACTCAAGGAACTCAGGGATGGCCGGTCAAATTCAATGCACTGAAGGCAGGGATGAGTACGTTTTCTGTTGGAAACTCAGAAAAGTGTTAGTTGATTAATTTTTCTTGCATATATCTGGAAAAGCTTGCTCCTGGTGCTTGTAATTTATTCATTACTGAAAATGGGGAAGAAGGATTGGGCAGGATGCTTAATGTTGGTGGCTAATGGAAACAATTTTGTTTGTAGATGGTCTTTGTTGTAACCAAAACTTCCATTTTGTTAGGTAAATTTTGGAGTTTCTATTGGTAAATTCTTGTGTTTCCAAGTTTTGAAACATTGATTTGTTGGTCCTTTGCCAAGCAAGGTTACACCTGGTTTTGCATCCCAAGTGACATGATGGCATTACATAATATTTTGTTAGGGGTAATATCATTTAGAGGACACAATTTGTATTTTTATCACGGCAATACTACACTTATAATATAATTTCACAATTTTTTTCTTACAACTTTGACGTGGCAGCTCGCAATTGGTTTCTCTTGCTCAATAATGGGTCTCGTTTTCCTAATAGGAGCTGCGACGTCGAGGTTGTAAGAGAAAATTTGTAAGATTAAGTTGTAAGCCAATCTTTATTGTTTTTATCACTCAAAGAACACTAATATCTTGAAAAAAGTGTATGTAGAGAAGTGGAAGTGGTTGTTGAATGATAAAAGTGTATGTTTATTAAAAAAAAAAAAAAAAAAAAAGCAGCGTAATGTTCTTTACTTCTTTTTCTTTGAGTTTAAAATAAGTGCCCTTTGAATAATAATACCCTATTTTCTTATCATTTGTTGCATCATCTTATTTTGTTCATATTAAATATGTTTTTTATTAATACTATTATTATTATTTATTATTTGATGATGATGTGTAAAATAAAAATTTTGAAGGTGTTTGAATAAGATGTGTCATGGCCTCCAAAACTAAAGTTTTTAACCACCCACTTATGGTTGAATGAATAGAGTGGTGCATGGTTGAAAGCATTATCTCTGGTCTTGAGTTTGAGTTGTACCAATGGGTGACCAATTATTGTGCCTATTCGTAATTTGAATGTCAAAGATGCACATTACAAAAGAATCCATCATTGTTTTATTAAAATTTTACATGTTACAAAAAAAGAATTAACGACCATTGTAGGCGTGATTGTTGCTAGCATGATTTGAAACGATGAGTTATTGCTTTATTTAAGAAGTCATTTAAAAAAATAATGTGTTATTGATGAAGTCAAAGACAAAATTATGATATTTAAGAAGTCATTTAAAAAAATAATGTGTTATTTATGAAGTCAAAGATAAGATTATGATATTAGATTATGAAATTATTGTTTTATTTGAAAAATATGTGGAAATCTCTCCCTTCTAAAAGATATTATAAGATATTATTTAGATTTTAGGAGATAACTTTATATTTTTCAAATTTTATAGTATTTTTCACACAATTATAGAATTTTTTTTTAATTATTTTAACTTCAAGATAGAAGAGATCAATAAATATATGAACAAAATTGCAAGAAAGTCCTTAATGTTTGTCTATGATTACATACAAAGGTGTCTATAGATTAAAAAATCAATACAATTGTTTCCATCATTACAAGCTTGTGATTCAAATTTATGAGAAAATTTATATTTTTAAAATTTTGTTATATTTTGTCATATAAAGTAAATTTGTGTATGGATTAATAAAGCAACACTACTATGGTATCAATAGGGTTTTCCATGCAAAAGATCATGGTCTAAGGATTGGTGTTAAAGGCTGATTATTACCATTTGAACCTTTGGTGACCTCTGTTTTAAAAACTAGACCGGACCGGTCGGTCGGACTGGTCCAATTGAGATTCGACAGCTTCTCCGGTCTGATTCAGGTCTTATGGGGATTTTGTAATATTTCAAAATTATAAGGATTAAATTGTAATTTTATAGGGGTGTTTTGGATATATGTCAAAAGTTCAAGGATTAATTGGTCATTTTTTGGGGTATTTTTGAAATAAATAAAAATTTTATGGACTAATTTGAACTTTTTAGGAGATTTTTTGTAGTATATTAAAATTTAAGGGATTAATATGTAATTTTTTAAAAATAAAATTGTCGTTAACGTCATCGGTCCAACTGGCTGGTTAGACCGATTGACCAATGACCCCGACAGTAAAACAGGTTACCCTTCGGTCCGGGTTTTAAAACAATGCTGGTGACCTTATTGACAAGATTTCATCCATAGGATCATGGATTGATGTTAAAGGTTGATGATAGTCCCATTAAACTTTGAACAATAATTCTACGAAACCATTAAGGTTATCAGAGGGTAAAATAGTAATCTCATATTAAAGGGTAAAATAAATATTTGAAGGATTTCAAATAAAAATGTGTTAGTTGACATAATAAAGTTGGAGACTTTAATGATGTCATGTAAGCGTTGGAAAGATTTAATTTTGGTGGTGTCACTTGTTAGGGGGTGACCCACTAGTATTTTTTAATTATCAGGCACTCACTGAAAATTTAACCCCAAAAAAAAAACCTTTACTTTAGTCTCTTAGTTTACCATCTATGGGTCATTGACCCTCCCAAATCCTAAAACCTTGCTCCCAGCTCCATGGTCGCTCTTGCTTTGGGTGTTTTTGATCCAATTTTAAATTATCCTGTGAATGATGAAATAATATGTTGAATTAGATATCGATCATTGAATTATTTCGTTAAATTTTTTGTATTAGGTTAGACAAATATTGCTAATATAGACTCACAAGTTGTAAGTATCAACTAAAATATGAACTATTTTCTCGACTTATACTTTGTATCCAAATTTTCTATTTACAAAATTTGTATCTTAAATATATGAATATTTAATTGTCATGTGGATGGTGAAATAATGTATTACAATTAAATATAATTAATCGATTATCGTCATATCACTTAAAATATAAAAGTTGGGATATGAAAACTTTAGAAATATAACGTTACTTCTACGGATTAAAAAAAAAAAGGTATTTCTCTACATTGAATATATATACATCCAACCAATTACAAGATGTTAGTCTGTGCATCTAGGATGCACTCCTCTCATGATTGGTTGATCGTATTATACACAACCATTCTATGAAATATTCTCTCCATCACTGTTTTAAAACCTGGCCTGACTTAGTCAAATCGATTTAACCAGTTCAACCGAGACCCGGAAGCTTCAATGGACTGGGTTTATACTTTTTTTATTCACCCAAAATCCTAGGATTTGGGAGGATGATCGGTGAATAATTGACGACTGGGATGTTGGGGCTTTTGAAGAGAAAGCGCCGGTGAATGCAATGGTGGTGACGGAGTTGATTTCTGATCAGTAAATCAATCAAAAATCAAACTAAACTGGCAGCAGCAACAACTGGCTTTTGCCGACGATTGGCGAGGCTAACAAGGATGGGGTGAGGTGGGTTTTGGTCAGGAGGAAGAATGGATTATTTTCTGGGTGATGGGGATGTCGACGCTAGCGTTGATGAGATCTGGCCTGGAATGCCGACGCCAATATCGGTGACATCTAGCTAAAATCAAACCTATTTCGGTCATATCTTGGGTATATTTTAAAGGGAATGGGCTTAAGGGACGATTGGGGTTGCATCTGGGGTGTCGTCGCCGCCAACCAGTCGTCAACCAATTTGTATTTGGGGTGTGTTTACTAAATTTCAAACTTATAGGGACTTAACGAATTTCTAGGTGTATATTTGTTGAATTTTAGAGGTTTTTGTCAACTGGTTTTACAGTCGGTTAAACCGGTCAAGCTGGGACACAACAAATTTATCGGGTTTCACCCCGGGTTGGGTTTTAAAACATTGCTCTACATTGTATAAAAGATTTTTTAGACGATTAGAGCTAAAAGACATAAACCCTTGAGGTATGGTAAATAACAAGAATCCCCTTTTAGTTTTTGAAATAACAAAAAACCCCCACGTTGTTAATGAATTGTTAAATTTTACACTATTATGAGTTAGTAAATATTGCCAAATTGCCCACCTATTATTGTTTATTTTGACACCTAAAATTTAACGATAACGGATTTTTGTTATTTCCGATACCTCAAGGGGATGTTGGTTATTTTATCATATATGAGGAGGGTTATAATATACTATTTCATATTGGAGTTGTAAAAAACGTAGACATACTAAGTAACAAATGTCAAATAACCAAAGCACCATTTTCTTGATTAAGAAATGAATGCAATTGGGTTGACTTTAACAACGATTGAGAGAGATGACAACGGTTTTTTTTTTTTTTTTTTTTTTTTTGACAACTTAACTAATTAAATCACCTTAAATACTCTCTTACTTTCATTGGATAATTTCCTTCCTAAAATTTTCCTACTTCCCAAACAAGAATGGAATCAATATAATCATCTAATATAGAGGTTATTACTTGTTATATAGATTTTATACAAATTATTACTCAGCTTTTAAGGAAAAAATACTTCTGTGTATTGTATTAAATACCAAAGAAATAAAGACGGAAAACAAGTATACTACTTTGTTTGATATATATACTTTCTTTTGACAGACTATTTTGTTGATTGTATATACATATCGAATATTACGAATTTAGCCAAATTTTACAGAAATATTATAATCCTCCATTGAAGGGCAAAGTCTTGGTAAATGTTTTTGTATAAATGAAGGATGAAAGAAAAACTGGGAAAAAAGCAGCTTTTGTCATTGATGAGTAAATAAAAAAAAAAAAAAAAATTGCTGCAGCAGCAGCTTTTGTACAGAAGAGCTGCGTGACTTTCAAGAAAACAAAGAATTCAACTAAAAAAAAAAAAAAAAAAAAAGAAAAGAGCCTGCTGCTTTGTTGATTTCCTTGTTAAAATAAGAAAGAGTTTGAGGATTTGGTGGTGGTGGGCAGCTCATGCAATTTCTTTGCAGAATTCACCAAAACAAACAACAACATGGTTGAATGGCACGGCAGAGACTGACTCATCATCATCCATCATAAATCAATCATTCATTCATGCATAATGGCATGGCTTTTGGTTGTTGCAACTAAAGTTCAAACTTCTGCAAATGCCATCAAAATTGAGACGAATAAGAAATTTTTTAACATTTTTATATCTTCTCTACTCTGAATCACTTTCCATGTCTCCATTCCTTTCAACCCTTTCTCTTTTGCTGTATATCCAACCAATTCATCCAACCAAACAACAAAAACAAAAACAAGGAAAACATTCAGTTCTTGTTGTGATAGATATAATAATATTTTCATAAACAATATTAAGAAAAGAGTCATTAGGTGGAAGTAGGACCATCCAGAAGGTGAAATGTTCAGTCAAGCAAGCAAGATGTGTTTTCTTGCCATAAAGTCAAGTAGTTGTGGTGCCACTACTACTAACATAAGGAGAAAACATTCCCCACATGCGACCGCCCAGCCAATCACATTGCCATATCAGCAGACATGACTTTGCGTGCTTGATGATTGGCTGGATGCATATTGTTGTTGCAGAGAACGGGAAGTTCTCCGCACATAACCCAAAAGAGAATGGCAATTAAAGGCGGATTAAAGATCTTTACCTTCTTAACATTCTTCTTTTCTCTAACCTCATAGCGACTCTTAGTCAAGTCCGAAGCCACATCCCTGGAAAACATACTGCAAAAAATACCGAAACCGAAAAATAATTGATAAGACTGGAATATAGAAAGTAGAGAGAAAACTATAAATAAAAAAATAAAGAGAAAGTAAAGAAAACCAACTAAAAAATGAGCAGATTTTTTAATTATTTTTTTTTTTTGTGGTACCTGAAGAGCTCTATCAATATTCTTGGCCCTTTTCTTTGGTCTATGAGGTAGCTTTGTGCCTTTCATTGCTAGAAAATCATCTTCTTTCTCCTTCCTAGACAAGGAAACAAAAATCTTTGGCCATTCAATCACTTCAACATTCACCTTTTCTACCACTGCTCCTACTCCTCCAACCTCTTGTTCGGACTGAACTGGTGCAGAATCAACATGATTGTTGAGATCATGTCGAGTGGATGATCCATTCAGCTTCTCATCTTTTCTTGACCCTGAAGATGTAATCTTCTTATCAATTTTATCCGGAGAAGGGGAAGACCATTTCCCTGCTGTCGCTGTAGATCTAGAAACCGCCCTCGAAGTATTACCACTTGTACAGTTTCGTGAAGGCAATCCATTTACCGCACCAGATCGCTCTTCGAGATTCCTGGTCATGGTCAACAAAAGAAGATGATGCTTGATTTGGTTTGGATGAAGCAAAAGTGGGTTGTTTTTGTCAAGGGTTTTAAGCTTAGATGAAGTTGTATGTACACAATAAGAACATAGATTAAGGGAAGACAGTTGAAAAGACAGAATTTAATACCCACCTAAAAGAAGAAAAAGCATATGTACAAGTATCATAACAATCTTCAACAAGTGAAATTAAAAAAATTTAACATAATTTACTTTTTTTCTTATTTTATTTTTCAGAAATCACTATTTGCAAATTCCAAAACAGAAAAAGCAAAAGTTAGGAGAATGGATATCAAAGTATGGTATCAGTTTCAAGATCTGCACAAAAGCATTAACCAAAACGGCAAAACCTAGAAAAAAAAATTTAATATGTACTCAACAAGAAGAGGCTCAAAATAAACAAAAGAAAATAAAAGAAAAAAATTACAACCCCATCGACATTAATACAGCACACAAGAAAATGAAGATGAAGAAGAAGATGGAAGGAGTTGACAAATGGCCATAGACTCCTTCCTCGTCCTTTAAAGGGTAAAAAAGTAAACTTACTTAGAAAAGTTGGTAGTTGAATTCAGTAGAAGCTAAAAATAACATAGGGTTTACAATTTTAGATCCACCAGAGGAAATAAAATCAATAAAAATTCAATATTTCATGTAATGAACAAAAGGAAACAACCCAGAAAACATAATCACAAGAACAAAAAAAGAAAATTTATTTTGGTACCTGCTAGGAATGAATCCAGAATTCCTCTTAGAAGTAGAAGAACCATTAGAAGGAATTGAAGGCGGAGGAGGCGGCGGCGGCATGGGAACACTAGAGAGCTTATCCATCAAGCCCGATCCTCTTCTTTGAACTTTGTTAATGGGGTGTTGTCTGAAATTGAGAAGATGAGGAGGAAGAAGATGAATCATCAGTGAGTGAACGGATCTCAGTTCTGGAGAGTCTAGCCCTCTTTTTCTGACCCCATTGAGGAGGACATCACCGGGATAGGACTCATATCAAGTCTTTGACTTTGGTGACTTTGGTTGGTGTTTTCTGAGAGTGGAGGAGAATTAGCATTGATGTTGTCTTGAGATTGGATGGGATTGAATCTAAAAGCCTTGTGTGTGCTGTTGCTGTTGCGTGTGTTGTTGTTCAGAATTGTAGGATCAAATCCAGTCGAAGCAGTGGTTGTGGTTGGGGTTGTGAGCTTGCCATTTTCACCATCTTCTTACAAGTTGGTCTAAGCTTTTTTTCCATTGCAAAAAGGAAGATAATCGGGACTCAGTCTCTGAAATCTGCAAAAGACAAAAACAACATTCATCATCATCATCAAATCAGAACACCATTAACAAAAGAACAAAAAAAAAAAGTTTAAACTTGCAAGCTCAAAACACTACAGGAAGAAACCCATATGAGAAAAAAGTGAAGCGAAGTTTTTCCCGTGGCGAATCTAGATAAATCTGATAACAAGACAACCCAGGAGGAAAACAAAAGAAAAGAGGTGAATGTATAAAAAATTCAAGAAGCACAAGTGAAAAAAAAAAAAGCTTAAGTTTTTCTTTTTGTTTTCATGGTGGAATCTGGATGAACTGATGAACAAAAAACAAGCGGTAAATAAAGAAACAAAAGGGGGGAAGCGGATCCAGTGACTCCAGTGGGAAAACGAAGAGTGGATGAATTGAAGAGGCGAAGGGAGAGAGACCTATCATTATATTGGTTTTGAACACGCGGCAATGAAAAGGAACAATCTTGTGTGTTGTTGTTGTTTGGTTAATGGGAAACGGCGTGGTGGTGGTGGTGGTGGTCATTCTTCTGATGGAAAAACAATGCAGGAAACCAGGAATGAATATAGTGGGAGAGACGAGAAACATATATGATTTATATATAAATCTATTATAATAATATTAATTAAAATAAATAAATAGTGTTATACGTTTCAATTGAGTATCATCTCATTTATTTTTTAATAAGTAAAAATAGTTTATTTGTAGTTAGTTTGTAGGGTTTATTTGAGTAGAGTTTTAGAAAATAGTTTTAAAAAAAAAAAATGTTATTTTATAAGAAATATAAAAGAATTGTTAGTGTATAAATTTTTGAAAAGCGTTTTAAATTGAAAATAGAACAAGTTAAATTTATAAAATAAATTGAGATACTTTGAAATTTAACATTTTAAATAAGTGAAAAAAAAAAAAAACTGATACTAAAAAAGACACCAACTAAAGTGATCTTATTGACTTGAAGACGGATGTGTACGTGAATAATGAAAATCAACAAATAATAAGCAAACGACCAAATATGAAATGACTCAAAAGAGTTTTAAACGGTTGGCGAGTTGATCCTAACTTACGTGCACGGTTGTTTTTCCGAATAATAATGTTAACCTTCTACACGTTTTGGGGTATTTATGCATGAATTTGAAAATGGTAAATGAATTAAATCGGGATAGTACCACAGATGATTGTGTGTCAAAGTGACCTAAAGGATATTGGCAATATCTCTCCAAGATACAAGAGATCACCGTTAAGAGGTCATGACAAAATTCATTGGTCGAACTAGCTTGTCTTCAAGCGATCTTTAGTCGCAAACGAGCTTATGGCAACGAGATTCATGTTTCACGAACTATTGACATTTTCGAGCTTACGACAAAATTCACACGCAAAATAACTTACATTTCTTTTATATTTAAAGTTTTTTTTTTTTAATTTAAGATCAAAAAATTGTTTACATTTTTCTGACCAAATAATTAAAAATTTCTCGTAAAATCTCTACTTTGTAAGCTATACTCTAATAAATTCTACATCCATAATGGACGTAAGTCCTCCTACTTAATTTATCGTCAAAATTACCAAAAATGACAGTTTATGTGTAAGTTATTACTATTTTTTTTTTTTTTTTAATTTTAAACTTTTTAAATTCAGACCATCAAACTCACTTCTATTTATAATCGAATTATTGGTTTAATAATTTATTTTATAATTAAAAATAAAAAAAAAACCCTATTTTTGTTTACTTTTATAAAATAAGTTTAAATCACAAATTGTTTGGGTAAAATTATCTTTTATTTTTCAGAAGAAATAAACAAATAAAAAGAAAAAAAGATTATAGTGTATAATCAATAACAATTACTTTATAATGAAATATGTTGTTGTTAACTAATATATATAAATATATATTAATGATCACTTCATTGTGGTTGAATGGTAGCCTTTTTACGTGTTATATCTCGATATTATTTCAAATTTAAGATAATCGTCCTCCGCTAAAGAGTGGTTATTTATTATTTATTTTTTGGTTATTTTTCATATTTGACAATTTTATTAACTCATAAATTTATGATTAATTTTGTTTTTTTTTTTAATCTTATATTTGAAATTTGAATAGTGAGGCGATTATACAAGATAATTATCTAAATATTTAGCAATTATTATACTACCATAATTATTATTATATTTTGTAAGTAAAAAAATTAAATACACCTAAGTTTTTCGAAAATGATTAAATATACCCTATAATTATGAATCTCCAGTAAAACCCCAAATAGGCAAATAGGAGTTTTAATAATTGTAAAGTTTTTGAAGCTCTTAAAAGCTTGAGTAACTTCAAATTAAATTTCTCGTAAGAGTTATATAAACAGTGTTTTGAAACCCGACCAACTTGAACGGTTAACTGGGACCCAAAAGCCTCACTGAGTTACCACTTTCTTTATTCAATAAAACCTTAGAATTTGGGTGTGATTGATGCACATTGAAGGTCGGGATGTAGCTTTGAAGAGGAAGTGTCAGTGATGGCAATGGTGACGACGAAAGTGATTTTTGGTGAGTAAATCGACGGAAATTTAAAAAAACCAACGACGACAACAACTAGGTTTGCGAGATTGGCGAGGGGAACGGGTATTTGGCCAAGGGTTGAAAGGAGTATTTTGTTTTTTTTTTGGGGGGGGGGGGGGGGTGGGGAGGACTAGGGTGTTAACGTCGACGGTGGTAATTGGCTAGTTATCGATGCTAGTGGTGGTGAGATCTAAAAAAATTGAACCAATTTCAACCAAATCTTGGTAGATTTTTTTGGAGAATGGTCAAGGGATCATTTGAATTACATTGTGTGTCGTCGTCGCCAACCAATCGACCCCTGATTTGTATTTGGGGTGTGTTACTAAATTTTTAAACCTATAGAGACTTAACATATTCTTAGGGTATGTATTGTAAATTTTAAACTTTTGAAACCCATTTGACCGGCGATCAACCCAAGACCTACAACTTTGCCGGGTTGGTTATTAAAACAATATGAAATAGACCCTTAAAATTTGATATATTTAAAAAAAAAAAAAAAATTTTCAAAATTCAAATGAAATCATCCTTCACTAAAAAAGAGGTGCAAAAATATTGCAATGGGAACCAGATGAACGTAAAAATCTTGAGTGATGAAATTATGAACACGTCCGTCGCGTCGGGTGCACACCAAGTCTAAAAATGTGCATGCATCTACAACTGATTAAACGAACGTACATACATATCCTACTAAAACTTACTCCACTCCAGTCGATATAAGTACATGTGGAAAATTCAAGTATCTAATCAAACAAAAAATTATTACTATAATATCAACAAAGAAGGAAAAAGAAAGTATCAATCTGCTTCCACATCAAAGAGTTGTTTATTTCAATCCTCAAAACTTCATTAATTGGCTGTTGGCTTCCAAGTTAAACTACCTCATATACGATAGGCATCAACATGTAGTTAACAATGAGAGCCTGAGTAGAATCAGCACAACTTTGCATTTTGGTCCATCTACCGGAAGAGCCTTTGAACTGATCTCCTTGGTACTTTGCCTTCAAGCTTTATCTTCTATAAGCTTCTCTGATGTGGCACGGGCTGATTGGTCCGGACTCTTCCTCTCTGCCATGACCATTCTAGCTGCAAAAAAAAAAACAAAGGGGCAAACACACAAGACCAGCTAATCAAACTTCTATATACAAACGTTTATGTGGACTCAAACATGCACCAAGTATAGCTTTCAGGAAAACATCAGACTGACGTGGTCACAAGGTTTTTGCCGCAATATATGCATTCTTACCCATTTCTCAAGTCGTAAAAATAGGGTTTACTTGAACTTTGTTTTGGAAATGAAATTAGCATAAAGATTGACATGTGTAAAGTTGTAAGCATACCTGTTAACAAGTTCACCAACAAACATTTTTGCTATGCCACACACTACAATGTCATTGGTAAGAAATTTTCTGGCTTCCTGTGATGCTCACTAACAACTGCATTCATACAAGTAAACTTGACATATATATGGAAAACTCAATACATAAGTGAATCAAAATCTACAAGCATTAAACGCAAGAACAATGCACTCAAGAAGGTTCATGGAAAGAAATAGGCAAGCCAAGTGAATATAATACCAGCCTAAAGGAATCTTTCACCAAACTTACTCCAAACAGGTTGACAGAGTGACAACAGCCAAACAAACACACTTCCCTGTAGCCTAAGGACCCAAAAAAAATTAAAAATTTGTGGTACATCATTTTCACTTCTCTAAAGCATAAAACAAACATACGTGCTGAACTAGCTACATGCAAACAAAGTATAGAAAATGCAACAAGCTCCTAACAGTCCATCTTAGATGAGACAATGTGGGGAACAAAGTTTTGCAAAGAAAAGAATGGAGAGAAACAAAAACATTTCTAGTCATTATCTTCAAATCAACAAGCACAACTCGCGAGAATATAGAAAGGAGGAAAAAGAAGGATGGTCACAAATCACCATCTTCAACTCACAAAATAAGAGGGGAAAATAATTCAGGTACCGTTGTTCAAGTCAAACAATTAGCCAACAGCAAGGGGTAACATAGAAAGGAGGGAAACAAGGGGCGGAACAAGAAACA